TGATGCGGCTCACTATTTGTCTTATGTCGGTACAGTTAGTTAGTAGTGCTCAGTCTAGGCAAGTCTGAGGATTTTTGTAAGTTGTTGCCACCTCTGCCATAAAGTAACATAAAAAAAGAATGTAGTTTAAATAACTAAGAATATTACAATAATCGAAAAAATATGAATTTTTCCTCCATTTTATAATACGTTGCACTATATCATAGTCCGTGCTATATACTCCTTTTTATCACAAATCATTAACATCCGACTGAAACTTCGTAAATATCTTCATCTCATCGTAACTGGGGCGTTTTCAATTCTGGAGGTCCGTAAACTTTGTCTATTTAATTTTTATTATATTTGTTTATTTAGAAATATTACATTCTGTCACATCAAGGACATTTATAATGAGTGTTCAGAGAGCACACTCACACTCTATTTACAATAAAAAATAAATAAATAATACAGAAACTTAATAATAATAAATACAATAAAATAAAATAAAAATAAATACAATAAAATAAAATAAAAATAAATACAATAAAATAAAATAAAAATAAATACAATAAAATAAAATAAAAATAAATACAATAAAATAAAATAAAAATAAATACAATAAAATAAAATAAAAATAAATACAATAAAATAAAATAAAAATGAATACAATAAAATAAAATAAAAATAAATACAATAAAATAAAATAAATGTATATAAACAAAAGAACTAACCTAATCATACACACTCGAGCTTGAGTGGAGGATCTGGCCATTGCCAAAACTCCAATAGATGCTTATTTACAGAAGGTCTCTGGGCCACTGCCGCTTCAACCTTCGAGGAGGATTGTAAGGATGGGTGGTGCTGGATAGAGATTGCGCAAGGGGATTTGGATGATAGATAAGGTTCTGGTTAAATTTGGAGAATTTTTCTGGAATAAGGTCTATTTAATTAGGTACTAAAAAAAAACTGGGAAATACGCATTGGTTTCTACTTTAATCGTAGGATAACTTGAGCAGAAATTCATGAAAAAATGTGACCTTCAAAAATATTGAATCGTTTGGCCTACATAACCTCGTTATTTTAACAATTTGGGAGTGTAGGTCACGCCAAACGGCTCAATATTTTTGAGGCTATTTTTTTTCTCGACATTGTGTTCAAGTTGTCTTAGGATTCAAGTGGAAAGCAAATGGGTATTTATGAGTTTTTAGTACATAATTAAATAAACAAAGTTTGCCGACCTCCAAATTGAAAACGCCCCAATTCCAAGAGTTTTCATAAATAAAATATCTGTAGGTTACGATGAGAATAAGATATTTACGAAGTTTCATCCGGTTGTTAATAATTCTTTAAAAAGGGGTCTAATATTTATTTCTTTATTATTTTTTTTAATTTACTGTCTAATGTACCATGTGAATTATTCGCACGGGTGAACTAATACACAATTTAACAGACTTTGAAAAAACGATGAGAAATTATCACAATGTAATCATAACCCGATGAATATCAATTTAAATAAATACCCAAAAGGAAAAAAGACTTATTTATTCGTTTAAATATATTATATAAACAAAAGTATAGCTATAAATAATATATGTGTTAGGCAAGACAAATAATAAGATGGAGTAGCTTACCAAGGCTGCGGTCCCTTTGTCGCAAACAGAGCTCCTGATGAATATTGAAGAGCATACAGAAATATCTGTCTGACCTTGAGGGGATCTTGTGGGGAAGTCACCGTAATGCCCCGAAGTGGTATGAAGGCACTGGGGACAGAAAAACTTCCGTGATTCTCCAATATAGATTATTTTCTAATATTCTGAAGGTATATTGTTCGATTATAAAGGGTGCCCCGAAAATAGAGAGAAATTTTGATAGTTATCATAGCAAACTTCAAGGCCTACAAAATAGTTCATATAAACAATGGGCCAACTTTCAGCAAAAAAGTAGCAAATCCAAGTATTGTAAGTTTATTAGAGAGTCATGTGTTTTGTTGAGTAGGAAGCGATAACTTAACAAATATTTAATTTATGTTATTGACAATTACTTCACTGTAAATTTACTTTGATCGAAAAGAGAGTTTGTCATTATTAAAACTATTTAAAGAAGACATATGAGCTGCTAAATTAAGCTAAATTCTGTTTTAAAAAAAAAACATAAATATTCGTGATTTTATTTTTACCATCATCCAACTATACTACAGTTACCCCACTTTAAGAAAAACTATTTTGTTTAATAAGGTTTGAGTTTATATTAATTACATTGAGGTTTATTAGGCAAAAAGTTGAGATTCGTCTCAAGTTGTTAAGTTATCGCTTCCTACACAACAAAAAATATGACTCTCTAATAAACCCACAAAACTTGGATTTCCTACTTTTCTACTGAAAACTGGCCTATTGTTTATATGAAATTCAACCCAAGCTTATACCGAGTCGTAAAATACGATTGGATGAAATACCGTTGGACTTCCAGATTTTGAAATGCATTTCGCTCCTTAATACTGGTTTATTATTTTCAATAATGAACGCTTGTAATCGAACGAAAAATTCAAAAACTTAACCCCCTCCCACTCCCCTCAAAATTTGAGGTTTTACGTTTCAGGATACATAGAATTTGAAAAACGAATAAAAAAATTGTTTGTCCGCCGCCGTCCGCACATTTTCTCCGAAACAACGGGAACAATTTTTTTCAAATTTGGATTTTAAGTCAGAGGTCATCTTAGGATGATCCTCCTACATCGACATTATTATCTGCCTTTACCTTTCGAGATGGCGGTCGAAAAACCTGTGCTGCTATAGACTGTAGCGCCTAAACGAATGTACAGATTTAGTGTTGCCCAAAATTGGTCTTGGTCTTGCAATGTGCAAGACCAAGATCAACACCGCCTATCTGTTGCAAGACCGAGACTGTTAAAAAAAAATCTAAATTCAGGCAAAATAGTTACTAATACTTACCGGTTTTAATTACTATATGTAAAGAATTGGTATAACCTATATAATTTTGTATTTAACTCTTCCAATTTTTCATTCGGGTTTTGTTAGGTTTTCCCTGTCTGAAAAAATACAGTAATATTTCAATAATAATAGGCCAATAGGTAACTGCAAGACTCTTGCGCACGACCAAGACCTAGACCACGAATGAGTTTCCAAGAACAAGACTCGTCTCGGTCTCGCATTCAGGCAACACTATACAGATTTCAATGAAACTTGGCTAAAGACTTCTTATCGATGCCGTTTAAATTTATCTATATTATATTATATGTTATACAAAAGTATGTTACATATTACATTATATTTAAAACTTTCTCTGTAGAGTAAAAGTTCTCTGTAGAAACAAATAGAAGAAAATCATCTTTGACAAGGCTGAAGAGACCAATACTCCTCTTCAGTACGCGCCTTTATTGCCTAAACGCAATGCACAATCAAACTCACATGTTCACGCTTTCGGAAATTTCCGCAATGCCACATCTGGAGCATAAGGGATCGATATGTCTTCCGAGGTTGAGCAACTTGGCATAAAAGCCATCATATCCGGTCAGGAATTGAGAGATTCCATAGTTAGGTTAGAGCCATTTGGCAAATAGTCAGAACTGGAAATGCTTCCAGAATAATTCCAGAAATACTCCATCAGGATAGCCCCTTTAGTGAACGTGACTCACTATTCCAGTCCTCAATTGTGAATCCTCTCAACATTGCCTTCCATCTATTGGGTTATTCCTCAAACCTAACTCGAAGGTTCTCCGATATCCTAACCGAGCCTTTTCTCTTTTAGGGATATCTGATAAAATCTTCTTACAGGCCAGTGAGGCTCAGATAGCTAGAGGTAATGCATAACTTGAGAAACACCGCGCCATTCTTTGTCGATGGGTATCTATGGCGCTCTCAATACGACTAAGTCCGTTCGATTGTGTTTATATTTCATAAACTATATTAGATTACTTGTATTTTTGTTTCTCTCTAATAACAGAAGTAAAATGCTTTATTTAAATCTGATCCTTTCTAGAATTTTTTTATTTATTGAGTATTAATACAGTCTGCCACATTGAAGCGCATTGGTACTAGGGCTATAGTATTCATTCACACAATATGTACATAAGCAAGGGAAAAAAAATTATAAATAAAAAGATAAAGTAATATACAAGATAAGTAAGATAACAGATTAGCCGAATAATAACAAAATAAATAAAACTCATTCACATCTACATATACAATATTTACATTGGCCCGGGGACTCCGAATCAAGCTTTGTCCCCCAATTGTGGAAGCCAAAGCAGGACTCCAGGAGATCCCAGTACTTCTCTCCCAGACGCGTCACTCGTATAGTAAACCAGTGGAGGCTGATGGAGGACACTAGAGCAACACACGTTCAGGACATAAGTCAAGAATCTGGTCAGTACCATTACTCCAATATATACATTTTTACAAAAGGTCTGCCGTTTTAACCTCCGAGGAGGATTGTAGAGATGACTGAAGGTAGATAAAGACTGTGCTACAGGGTTAGGATGATGAGTGAGATTCTGGTGGAATTTGGAAAATTTGTCTGGGATTAGATCAAGTACAAATGGGATATTAAGGTCATTGTTTAGGGTTTTATTGGTTACACAAAAGGGAGCATCGACTATTGTTCGAAGAACTTTAGACTGGAAGGATTGAATGCGTTTGATGTTAGAACGTGCTGTACTCCACAGTTCGAGTCCATAGGTCCAGCTAGGTTTTAGGATTGTCTTGTACATTAATAGTTTGTTCTCAACTGAAAGTTGAGGTTTTCTATTGAGTAATCTATATAGTTGGCCATATCGTCGGTTAAGCTGTCGCCATCTGATCCAACACAAATTTTGACAATCTGCAAAACTGTCAGCCGCATGCGCAATTCAGTTGTTTCGTTCCAAAACCGGTTCCTTGCACGTTCCTGGAGACATAAAATCTGCAATGCGCTTGCAGTTAATAGTTATCTGATAGTGAAAACTTTTGTTAGAATAGACCAATTATTTTTACAGATGGTCATTATTTTTTTTAACTCACGCAATAATTTTAACTCAAGCGTCATTGTCATATGTTTTTACATTTCCGTTTTTCTATTTAATTGAAAAGTATATATAATTGAAATTATCCGAATTTAGCGAATGGATATTGACTGGGACTTGAACGACGAAGAGGAGTGTATGAACGACTATTCTGATGACGAGGTGGAATATTACGATGAGGCAGACGATTATGAGAAGGAAGACACGGCAGAGGGTGTTCCTCGACTGCACTGCAGCTTGTGCGATTGCACCATGTCCGACACCGCCGCGCTCATCGCCCATGTCCTCAGCGCGAGCCACAACAGGCGGCTCCAGAGAGAGAGCGCTTCTTCCAAGAGCATGCTCCTTAGGAAGCTGCTCAAGAAGAAGAGTAGTCATATCGGCAAGAAGTCGACCTGGAAGAGCAAGGAGACAGTCCTCACCAAACGGATGAAGTATCTGAACCCACTGAAAGAGATCGAAGAAGGGGAGATCGTAGAAAATGGCGAGGATCATGACAGTGATGATGATGATGATGATGACGACGATGATAGTGATAGTGAAGTGGTAAAAAAGTCAAGTGAAGTCAAAAAAGTACCTGAACTACTAAAACCAGTCGGGAAGGATAGGTAATTTTGAAAATTAATGTTACTAGCATCATAGTCAATAGACACATTATAAGAACAATCTAAAATAATTACAGATTGCTTTTAACATCTGTTTTATTCACATTAATGATAGGTTTAGTACGGAAACCAAACCAATAAAATTGAGTTGGATAATTTTAGGCAAGTTAAATATAATTTCCAACAGCCTATAAAGCATACCAACTGAGATTAATTGCCTCTAATAATGATTTAGATAGCAATTTATCCTTGTTCTTAAGCTGTTAACAATGAAATTTAGCAGACATAAATTTTTTTTTTTTTTTTGTTTGACACCACGTTTTTTTAAAATATTCTTTAATTTAATTCAAATTCACTATCAATGGAAGGGTTCAGTAGAAGAATACATAGATGGTTGAAAAGGCCATTTTCAAGATATGGCCAAAAAATAAATGTACCTAATAAATCTTTTTAATCCCAGCAAAATATTTCTAAAACAAGAGCTTGAACTATATATAAATAATTATTGTTTAGGTGGCTAAGTAAACAGTAAGTGGGGGGAGGTATTGTTATGGCACAAGCTAAAATTTTTTTTGTTACTTGGAGATTGAGATTATGTCTCAATTAAGGACATCGCAGTAAAATATAAATATTAGGCACTCATTTACAAGCATACATTAAAACTTAAACAATTTTTTTCCTATTTTATTTTTAATTCTATTAGTCGACATTCATGTTTTGCGTTTTCTGATGGAAATTATTTTTTGTTTATTACAAAAACTTACTGCGAATGAATAAATATAAATTGCATAAGTCAGTACATAATTAATATAGTATGTGTCAGTAAATATGAATCAGTCCTGTAGTACAGTAAAATTAGATATGTTACCTTGCAAAAGGTCGAGTAATTAAAATTTCTTTTTGTTTAATGTTAGGTATGTAGTGAATATAAAAAAAAAAAAATGTCAGCTTTTAAATGGCTTGTGGGTGTTCACTGCAGTCCTCCAAAACCATTGAAATTTCCAACTTTTTTTGGTTTACGCTGAATATCTCCTTTTTAAAGCGACATAGATAAAAAATGGTCATATTCAATCTTGAACAGCTTAAAATTATCTAATACTTTTGTACTAACATTTTCCGTAAACCTGACAGGAAGCGAACTATCGGGGTTTCAAAATTTACCCATTTCTATTTCTTTACAATATTGCTCTTTTGAAAGGAACAATTACGTAACTCCATTTTGTACCTCTGCTACGAGAATTCGGAGGTTTTCCTCGAACATAATGAGCCATTGACTGGAACAGCAGATAGTTGTCGGGAGTGGTTTTGAAAAGTATGATACACGATGGGCCAGACCATCCTACCGTGCATTCTCCACCTACATCCCAATTAACTGCATATAGTTCATTGTAACTATTTATTTAAAAAAAGCCAATATTCCCACAAAAAAGTGGCCGCACTGTTCCAAAATGGCGGACTGACGTATTTGACTTAAGTCAGTTTTTAGGTCTCTGAGATTCTGCATTTGGCTTAATTTCATTATCATTGGCATATTATTAAAGCTATATAGTTAGAGAATAATAAAACAATTATCATTAAAAAATTGGCCTTGCCAGTAAAAAACACCAGTAAATTTAATTTTTTCAAGTCGTCCAAACTAAGGTTGAAAATCAATAATAAATAATTGATAGTCGTTTGTAAATAAATAATAACGAAAAACGCTTCGAAACAAAACATGTCAAGAATACACTTTTTTTTCTAAATAACGTATTACTTTTTAAATTATTTAAAGCAGTTATCGACGGAAAAAGCGGAACTATCATTTACGCATGGAGTCCTCTGCCACATCGTTTAATACTTATAAACGGCATAGTTATAGTGCTATAATGATTGTATTAATATTTGATTGTATCAATTAACAAATAATAATACAATAATTTAACTGTCAACTTTTTTTTTTTTTAAATGTTCAAAACCTTACCTATTTTGAAAGCTCGATATTTCGCTTCCTGTTGGGTTTAGAAAAAAATGTTATGTACAAAAATATTAGATAATATTATGCTGTTTAACATTAAATATAACCACTTTTTATCTATCTCGATTTAAAAGGGAGATATTTAGGGTAAACCAAAAAAAGTTCGAAATTTCAATGATTTTTGGAGCACTGCAGCGAATCCACAAGGCTTTCAAAGGGTAGAATCTTGGATTTTTTATATTCACTACATACCTAACAATATAAAAAAGAAATTTGAATTATCCAACCTTTTGCAAGGTAGGACCCTTTTTTTGTGATAATTTAACTGGGATGAAAATTACTTTAAAATACCAAGTATTCTGTTTTTTTTTTAAATACAATTTTAATCATCTAGTATTTCAGTTAGCATTTACTTATAAATTACTTCAGTTAATTATTTTATTTAATAAGTATTTATATTTCAAATACAAAATACTTTTTCTGTAAAAAATTTAAATATTTTATGATAAAAATTGAATTTTAGGAACACAATACTTTGAATTTTAAGCAAAGTATTTTAAAATATATTTTTGTCCAGTATATTACATATTTATTTGTGTAACCAATACCATTAAAAAGTCATTTTCATCTTTTTCATGTCAAAGTCCATTTTTCTAATGTGAAATTCAAATAAACCTTTTAAACCTTTTCTAAATCAAATTCAACCATTTCAATTTTTCGATTTAAAACGTTAAACTTAACGGTTTGAAAATAAGGCGATAATGACCCAAGTAGTTGAAGCCTTTAATTAAAAAAAAAAGAAAAAAACTTAATGGTTTGAATTTAAACTTAACAATTGAAAGAACAATAGGCTATTGCATTAAACGGCCTGATATACATTTAGTTTAACTTTTCCGACTTCTTCGAAATAGCGTTCTATTGTTATATCGTGAGAGGAGCAATTAATGGAAATACTAACCATTTTAATTTAATACCACACGAAGTTAAAATAAATCGCGACTTATAGTATCTTCATGGTATTTTTCGATATAACGATCAGATATTTTGTTAGCGAAAGCGTATATTTTTAAAAAGCATCGATTTTAAGATGACACGGTCAAGTATCGATTTATCGTAACTTTTCAAACTTAACCAGTCAATTATATCGTTATCGAAGACGTAGTTTAGAAAATGCCATGATTTTCGGAATGTATACGATATTCGCTCGTGTGATATTAATAAATCTGATTTCATAAAAATTAGTAGTCATTATTTTATTTATAGTCATTTTTTTTTCTATTGGGATAAGTCCTAAATGATATTAAAGACCATTTAATTATACAATGCTTCATCGAGTTTAATCAAAATCGTTGAGCAGTTTTTTAAGTAAATTGTAAAAATGTGTTTCACCGTTGATATAAAGTGGCACTCCCGGTTAGCCGATTTTAAAGAAAAAGTTGCTGTCACATGTAACCTATCTTAAAGACGTAATGTCAGTTTCATAGATTTGCGGTACTTGGTTATATGGACTCAGGATATCTCAAAAATTCTTATTTCCGTTGAAAACACAGATTCGAAAATTTTCACGATCACAACACTTACCCTTACTATATATTTCATATGTAAGTAAGTGAAAGTTAAAAATAACAGTTTATTAGCTTGTCTTACTGGAAAATATTTCTTCAGCTTAATATATATTAAGGATAGCCTGGTCTTTTTGATTAAATATATTTAATTTAACATACAATAAATATTACCAAAATGGGAGGAAGGGTAATGGATCCTCCAAAAAATACATCCGGAGTTTATATTGTGTATAAAAATTATGAGTAATAATTAACTCGATTATTGTAAAACAAAAGATATTTGAGATAGTTGTTTTTACTTTCACTTACCTATATATGTAATATATAGTAAAGTATTGCGAACTTGAAAATTTTTCAATCTGAGTTTTCAATGGATATACATGATTTGAGGTCACATGTGTGCAAATGACCAAGTCCCGCAAAATGGTCTGTGTGTGTATGTTAGAAGTCTAGCTCAAAAACGAAAAGTCTTACGAAAGTGACATTGAATATTTAGAGTTTGTATATACCTTAGATGTTACAGAAATGTTTTTGTCAAAATCGGCTAACCGGAAGTGGCACTTTATATTATCGATGTAACACATTTTTAAGATTTTCTCGAAACAAATTTAGTTAAACTCGGTGTATACATTGATGCTTAAGAAATCAACTATAGTCTATCAACTGCATCCTGCAGAGCCTGATGCCACGTCCTGACCAAGACCTGCAAGGTGGGTCGAAACGTCGGCATAATAAATTAATAATACTATTTTTATAATTTAGTATTTATTTGACTGCACCCTCCCCCGATCAACTCCTTCTCATAACATTATTTAACGTAAATCACATGTTTTCAAGGGGAAATTAAATGAAATTTACTAACTGAAATTTTTTTTAAAGTTTGAAAAGGTATTTAAAATCCACCAAATCATTGTTAAAAAAACTATTTCATAGTACTTGTGTGAAAGAACCGTCAAGTAACCTTTTAGAAAATTACATTAGTAAATTATTAGATGAATTTTCCCTTTGTGAAATCCCAACATTGTCCACTTATGATTAGTGTGACAAATTTTGACCTATCTGGAGTCGACTAATTGAAGTGGTTTTTTTTCATATTGATTAAAATATCTCAGAAACTAAAAATCGGTCATGCATACTGTAAGCGAGGGAAATTCATCCTCTTAATAATGAGCTATTATACATAAATTATATTTCATATTATTGATCTCATCTTGTTGATGTTTTCACTTCTATTGTGTGATATAAAGCTGTCAACCTAAAAGTCAACCTTAGTTTTTTTTAAGTGTACTTCCGATAACATAACAATTGATCTTAAAATGTATTTTTGTTGTAGCAAGCCATCGGTTCCTGCCGTACCCACGAGCAAGATAGACCTTCGGAATAAACTGAATGAGATGAAGGAAAAACAGAACGAAGAAAGGAAAGCAGAAAAACGAAAAAAGAAAAATATTCGGACAAGGGAAGCAAAGAAGAGGAATAAGAAGATAGCGAAAGAGGACAAGAAGAGGATTGAAGACGCATTGGAAGCTCTAGAAGAGGAAGATGAGAACATAGCTTTCATGAAGCACACCATGGGCTTCAGCAAGTTCCAGTCGACCAAGCGAAGGTATTTGTAACTGTAATTGTAGTATACACTTTTAATATAAGTACAGTACAATAAACTGTAATTTTAATAATTAGCATTGTACAGGTTCCTCGTACGAGTTGTGGCTATTAAATAACGAGATTGATGCTATAATATTTTATTTTAATTTACTAGTAGGCCCGTGCGAAAAATTCGCACAGCATATTGTTATCAAATGCCAAATTAATAAGAAAATAAAATAATGCAACGTATCGAAACATAAAGAAATCAATTGTCACTTTATCGATAAATATAATCGACAAAGGAAACAAAAATTAATTTAAATCTTCATTAATGTTTAGAACCAACATGTTTACAAATTTCAAGAACATGTATCTTTGCAAAACAATGTCCGATTTCGATGATCTTTTTTTTTCCTTTTTCTTGGAATTTAGTAATCTTTTAGATAATCATGGGCATAACCCAGGAAAAAGTGTGTAATTTTTTAGTTATTTGCAAATAAAGTTTGTTTTCTTTCATAACTTGTTTGCCTGAATTTTCGAGATGATTGGACTATTTTACCCGCCTGATGGAGAAGGAAGCCATCAAAATTGGTAGCTCAATCGTGAGATTTGGCGAAGAATTGACGATGATATGGCTTGCCGATCAAAAACACCATCGATAAGTAATATAAACTCATCCTCTCTCGATCATAGAGACCTCAAGTCGACGAAATGAGACATCTATTCAATGACAGTACTACAATTAACGTAAGGTTGTGTGGATGCGAACCCTATGCCTTGCGTTATCTCGAAAATAGTACGTTTTTGGGCTTAAAAACGCAGGATCTTGCTGTACGCATCAAAATCTTCAAGGTCCAATTTTTCCGTATCGATCTACAGACCTGCCACCGTTCCAGTATTGAAGCCTAGCAAAATATTTGTATCGACTTTATTTATTTTGGAAAGAAACCCCCTTCGCGAAATTCTGAATCCAACGGTACCCCATTCATGGTATTTGAGCATGAGAGGAGCTTATATTTGGTACAAAACCGATTTCCAGCCTTACTGGAATAATATATGTGGGGTTGGGGATGGGGATTAATTTCGATAATGAAACATTGTAACCGTCCGAAAAATTCAAAAACTTAAACTCCCTCGAAATTTCAGGTTTTACGTTTCAGGATACGTAGAACCCGAAAATCTATTACAAATATTTTTGTCTGTCCGCCATCTACCGTACACAGTCTGCCGTCCGCGCATTTCTTCCGAACTGGACCGATTTTCAAATTTGAAATCAAAGTCAGAGGTCACCCGAGGATGATCCTCCTACCTCGACATTACTGTCCGCCTTTCCCTTCCAAGATGGGGGACGAAAAACCTGTGTTGGTATAGATTGTAGACGAATATACCGATTTCAATGAAACTTGGCTAAAGTCTTCTTCTCGATGCCCTCTAAATTTATCTATATAACATACTTCAACGAAAAGAAGCTGGAAAAAATTACGAAGGGTTGTAATATTAGATTTCCGGATAAATTAAAAAGTATACTTTTTTTTTTGTTGATATCGTATGGTTATTTAAAAGTTTACGAATTCAGAGCAAAGATATGGTGTTTTAGATTTTGTTCCTATGTTCTACTGCAAAGGTTATTTCCTTTGTTTTGGTTTTTAATTTTTGAATGTTTTACAGAAGCAAAGCTATCTCTCTTAGCAAATTACTAATGTTGAAAAAAATATATATTTAGGCCAATAATAGGAATCACATTTTATTTATTTTTCTTTATGTTACTAGGAAGATGATGGTTTTTTTATTTTTAACTATGGTATGAATGCACCGCGGCCATGAAGGCCTCTATTGTACAAAAAGATAATGTTAATTTAGATGTACAATTGTTTGGGAATAATAAACCATTGAGTAATAATTTATTTATTTATTTGAGTAATAATGATTTTATATTTACTTATTATTACCACCAATATACACCCATCCTCTATCCCTTCAATGCTCCATGAGAATCTTCCATTGTCGGAAAGAGTGCTGGAAAAATTTCTCTGTCAGCTCTTTCTGGACACGTATTACATTCTCTTTCACAGCTTTGACGTTCTCAAATCTTGTTCCTTTTACCTGACGAATCATGGTTTAACTTTCGTGTTTTTTTACTTTACGAATCGTGTATTATTGGAATGGCCCAATTTCACTGAAAGCCAAATAAGCTGGAATGAACAAACCAAAATTCAAAGAAAAAATAAATTAGAATAGAATAGAATAGAAAATAACTTTATTCTGGGATGAAGTCCCTTAAGAATATTACAGAAAAAAAAGAATAAAATCTGACCAGAAAACTTGTTACATTAAAAAATAGCCGGATAAAAAGCTTTAAGTAAATAAACTATATAGGCAAAATCAAACCAGTGAGACTATTCACAAAATAATAGCGTTGCCCAAAATCGTTCTTGGTTTTGCATTTTGCAAGACCAAGACTAAGACCGCCTAACTATTGTAAGACCAAGACTAAGACTGGTAAAAAAAAATCGATTTTTTGAATAAAAATTAAGGCGAAATAGTTTCTAACACTGGAAAATTTTGAGTTACTATAGATAAAGAATTGGTATAACCAACAAACTTATGCATTTAATTCTTCTAATTTTTCTTTCGGGCTTAGTTAGGTTTCTTCTTTCTAAAAAAATACAGTAATATGCTAATAGATAATTGCAAGACTGTTGCGAGACTCTTCCGAAAGAACAAGACCAAGTCAAAGACCGGGATCGCAAGACCAAGACTCGTCTAGGTCTCGCATTTGGGCAACACAACAAAGTACTATAAATATATACAATACATATAAAAAATTAAACAGACTATGAAACAAAATAATCGCTGCATAGTTAAAAAGATAAAAGAATATAATAATAAAAAAAAAAAAACAAACAGAAAAAAAACAGTGGAATACAAAATGAGGTCCTCTAATAAATGAGCAACAAATCTCCAATGAATAAAAGAAATTTCAACTCATATTGAAATACACATACACATACAAACAAATTATAAAACAATTTAAATATATTAGATTAACAAATTTTTATTTAATTAGCAATACAAAACAAAGATAAATTAGGGTATAAATATAAAAACTTAAAAAAAATACAATAAAAATATAGTTTTTTACTAACAATCGTTCGATTTATCGATTTTATCCTGTACCACAAAGTGTAATGAAAACTTTATGACTCCCTTCGCCATTCATAAAGGAGAGAAGTTGGCGAAAAAGCCATATAGAGTAATGTACGTTTCTTTCTTCGTTTCCATGGCATCTAAACAACCGGCCACCATACATTCGACCATCACACAAGTAAATTATAGTCTAATTATAAATTTTATTAAAACAACAAGGGGTTCCTTGCTTATTCACATTTTGTAGTTAGGATTCATTCTTCACTGGAGATTATATAAATCTTTTAAGAGAATTTTGAATTATTTTTGCAACCATAATACGAATTCCACGTATTAGTAGCCATAAATTCATTGTATATTAAGCTTTCTTCGTTGAATGAAATACGACATACTATTTTTAACCAATAAAAAAAAAGGAACTACGGTGTGTGCCTTAGACCACACGATAGAAGTGAAAATATCAACAAGATTAATAATATTAAATTTTTTTTGTTGATATTCTGAGTGCAACAGAAAATCCAATAATAACAAATAAGTTTTTATTTCTTATACTTATTAAATATATGTATATATTGACTTCCGCAAAGCATTTTCTCAATTCGCCGCGGTATTTAAATTTTGAGATATTTTAATCTAAATGTTCAAAACAGTTTTCCCTTCCCGACTCTCTAACTCAAGGAGTTTGGCTGAGAGAAACTTCAATTTATGAAGAAAACATCCTTAAATAAATAAAAAATTCTAATTCACATCAGTTATGTCAAACATCATTAATTTTGTTGTACATTATATACTTCTGATTTTATTAATTTGTTACATCAGAAATAATTATTAAATTTTTTTTTCAGTTATTTCTGAAGGGATCGAGAGTAGTGAAGCTATTTTAGATGTCATTAATGGATTCACCAAGACGCCATAAACAGTCAGCATATCTTTTATTTAATGAATTTGGGTGGAGAAATATACGTGAACTTTTAGCTCTTAAGTGTTGGATTTTTTAAATTATTATTACTATATAAGTCATATTATAATATAAGTTACAAAGGGGGAGAAATCAGAGTGATGTAATTCACATTTCCGACTATTCTCACTGAAGTCCAGAGATACAATCTAAATGAACTAACTGTTGTGAGAAAAAATATACGGAATGGTAGGAAGAGCTCCAGAGAAACGAAATGTTGATCAATATTAGCAAAAGAAAAACCCTTCATGTAGGAGGATGTCGAGGTAGGTAAATAGAAAGAACAGAAGGCCTCGGCAGTGCGGGTTCAATTAAGGAAAATTGACTCAAGGGATGAGGATGAGGCTTTGGCAGAATGACTGTAAGCACTGGCGGATCTATGGGGAGGAGGTAGGACTTTCGGGCTGAAGCTTCACCCCCAAGTGGTAAAATATAACCATGTTTTACAGAAAAAAATATTAAAAACTATCTCTTAAAGTATTCTTGTTCGTGTAATTACATTTAATAGGACTTCAAGAACCACTTAAAGACCATTTCATATAGGTAATTAATTTCTTTCTTTTTTCTTTAAATTAATTATTATTATATGTTTATTATAAATATGTATATGAAAAGAAATTACTGAATTTTGCGCCATCAAAATTTTTGAGAGGGGTCACATTTTGAGGGAGGAAATATTCGACAGGGTTATGAATTTTTGGACCAGGAGACAAACGGAAAACATGGAACAGGCCGCAGCAAGTGTAATTTTATACGATCTACAATTTTTCTAATTCTACCTTAGCTTGCTCTGTTCTTAAGAAAAGGTGAGCAATAAAATATCTTTGAAAGTGGGAAGTAGGTCTTCGCGCCATGGACCTAGGAGGAGGGGAATGGACACCCCTGCAGGCGGATGAGCACCCAAATCACTCTCGGTCTGCGAGCTAAGGGATGTGCCCTAAGACATCGCAGGATGGATACCACAAACAAAGAGATTAGTCTCCAGACTTTGTGAAAGGAAAAAATACTAATGGGGAAATGAGCCTCCAGACTTATTATGTAGGAATTCATGCGGATGAGCATCCAGGCCTGGTGTGGACTGAGATAAGTAGATGGGGTTAAAATGTAATACAAGTCAAATTTATATAAGAAAATTATATAAAATGTACTGGTCAGTCTGTACACTTAAACTCCACTCATTTTCTTCCCGAAGAATGCAGATTCAAGATCTGAATTAGCGAACCGAGCACTAGTGCTAAGTATATATATATGTACGCCATGATAATATTAGCTATTAGAGTCGTTTAAGTTACTGTCATTTATTAGCTTTGATAAATATACCTTATTACCATTAATCTTATTATTATTAAAAAGTAGTCACAATGTATATACACATTCAATATTTAGAACTGTTTTTAAAATAACAAGAAATAAAAATATAACTTACACGTATAATGCTTAAGCGCGCATTCGTGTCGGTGCTAGATAGCGGGCAGGTGAATCGTCCGTATCGTCGTAATCGTCCGCTACAAAGGGTACAAAATGATGTTGAGGTGTTTTATAACTGAGAAAAAAATGGAATTTGTCTCGGACTTCACCTACGTTAGAACAGTAGAATGGTCTGAAAAAAGTTTATTCAGAAACCCTATACAGGACAAGTAAAGCAAACTTAATATACTACCAAATATGAAATACTGTTATGGAGAAGTGAGAAGTGGTCGGAAACGTAAACCTGCACATTTTTAAATCAGTGTACAATAAATAAGTGTACAGCCTGTACTCCTTACTGTAGCTGAAAGCTAGTTACAGATAAACAGGAAAGCAGAGTGACAGCTTCAGAGATGAGGTTTTTCCAAAGAATTGCGTGGAGAACAAGAAGATACTGCATCCACAATGAGAGGATCACGGAGAAACAGGGAGTCGTCTAGGTGAGGTATATTCCAGATGCTCTTTAGCTGAATTGGTTTGGTTGACGGAATGGTAAGACACTGAGATCCACTGAAAGCTCTGGATTATTCCTCTGATAGTAGAAGACCGCGGAGGCAGATCAAGAATGACCTACTTGGAAGACGTCGACCATTTGTGTAAAAGAAGAGGAAAATATCTCCGCCAGGCCAAGAACTTGGCAAGAAACAGTGCACAATAACAGTCCTGTCTAAACGCTCCTCTATGCTGAAAGACACAACAGGATGAAGCAAAAGTTGATTTGTACTGAAGTAATAAAGTCATTTTAAGTTTTTTTTTTTAAATAACATTAATCAAACCTTCCATATTGGATTGTTTTACACAAAATTGAAGTTGGAAATTTATTACTATATTTCCCATGAAAGGTTTTTGTTTCCGAAAATGAAGATACATCGATTTCCGCCTCTCTCCCTTTAATCTCCTCAAATCTATTAATCTAGTATGTTGATTCAATTTCAATCACCAAACAAAGGAATTATTTAAGGTGTGCGATGTTCGTCGCTAAACAACGCTTTGGATTCTAAGAGCTTAGGAAGAACACGTCGATAGAACATAATTTCATTAAATCATAAGATTACGGAGATCTCCATCAGAATCAAGCACGAAAAGGAAAAGCCATCACAGGAATAAGTTGAAAAATATATAAATTAGACGAAAAAAAATACATGTTTATTTTTAGATGCATAATAACCTGATAATAACAGGCAAAATGTTATATGTAAACTTCATTGAAATAACAAAATCAATGATTAATGAAAATATGTATACAATTAAATTACGCATATATGCACTTCGACAACATCAAAAGAAAAGATACTGATCACCAAGATAAAACACTTACAGCAGCTTTTCTGTAAAAGGAATCCACGACCAAAGAAGCCATAGACCACGCTGAGGAACACGATCCATAAGAGTTTCAGAAACTAGATATAATGGAAGTGGAAATAGCTATAGATAGGTTTAAAACAAGAAAGGACTCGGGAATGGATAACCTACCATCAAAGATGTTAAAGGAAATGGAAGAAGGCTTAAGGGTCAAGCACAGGCGAATCTACTGGGAAAGGGGAGATTTCGGGCTGAAGCCCCTCGAAAATGGTAAAATGTAACGATGGTTTGTCGAAAAAAAATATTGTATATTGTATTACATTTAATAGGACTTCAAGAATCACTTAAAACACCATTTCATATAGGTAGATAGTATTTTTCTTTTTTTTCCAAATTAGTTATCGAATTATTTAATTATATATGTAAAAAAAAAGGAAGAATGAACACCATAGGCTTGGAATACGAGCCTAATCTGCCCTGTCCGAAAGAAGTGCTCCATGTATGAGTGTAGTAATTATAGAGGCATAGCACTGCTTCCTGTTGCCAACAAGATTATAAGAATCTTCATTTTACTAATCCTGATATATCAATTTTACGAAAATATGGCGAACACCAAGCTGAATTCAAAAGAGGTTAGAGAAAACTACCTACTCAGCTATTCTGAAACTGTTGTTTGGAAAACGATGAGGAGTAGCTCATCTTGCGCACGCCTTATTCGTCGATTTCAAAACTGCCTATGATTCCGTGAATAGAAAAAGTCTTTGGAAGATAGTGACTGAACAGGGAGTTCCCGAGAAGTTGGACTGTCATTGACGCTGTTCTGTACTTGTCTACTGGGTGTCCCGTATGTAGAGGGGAATTTTTATGTGAGTGATACCAGACCAAGCTACAAAATAGCTTTTATAAACTATGGGCCAATTTTTAGCATAAAAGTAGGAAATCTAGGTTTTGTGTTGTTTTTTCTCGTCCCTGGTTATATTTAGTAATTAGTAATTCGTTAGTACAGAATATAAATTTTAATTTACACTAATAATTTTACTTATTTTTCATAATAACTAAAGAAATATTTAATTTAAGTAATTAACAATTGACTCACTGTAAACTGAACAAAATTTTCTTCCAATGAAAATGGTTTGTCATTTTTTAAACCATTTAAAGAGAACTTTTGACCGGCTATACTACGCTGTAATCTTTGTGAAAAAATTATAAATTATTCACGATTTTTTTTTTATCATTATTCAACTCTACTAAAGACACCTCACTTTTAGAAAAAACTTCCTCGTTTAATAAGCTTTAAGTATATATTAATTAAATTTAGGTTTATTTTACCACTTGTGTAAAAAAAATTTGTGATTTTTTATCCTGTCACCTAAATGTTTTATTTATCAAAGCTTGTTTTTCCTTGATCTGGAATATATTTTAATAAACATAGTAGCCTAAACATACTTTTTATTTATATATACACATATTTTTTTAAATGATTATTTTTCAAATACTTTTATATAAAGTGGTTATGAAACTATGTATTTCATCTAGATCGCCATTAAAATAATTTATCCGTATTTATAAGTGACACTAAAAAAAAAAAAAAAAAGAAATTTGTTGCTTGCTTTAATTATTTCCATGACAACGTAAATATTAGGACCAGGAAGATTTAGTTAGTCACACCGGTGGATCTACAGGGAGGGAGAGGCTTTTGGGGTGGAGCCCATCTCCCCTCCCCCCTTTCAAAATGGTAAAATGTAATCATGTTTTATGAAAAAAAAACTGTCTTAAAAAATATTTTTGTTCAGTTAACAGGACTTCAACAATCACTTAAAGACCATTTCATATAAGTAGTTAGTTTCTTTCTTTCTTCCGGTCATTATCCTAATATTTTTTTTTTTAAAAAAGCGGTACTTTTACTTGACAGGATAAAAAAATAAAAATCCTTTTTATACAACTTCAGGTGAATCCCATGTTTTTCGCTAATAAAGTCTAATTAATCAATACATACTTAAATCTTATGAAACGAAGAAGTTTTTTTAAAAGTGTGGTATCTGCAGTATATTCGGATGATAATTTATGATTTTTTTTTTTAAATCGAAATTTGCTTATTTCAGCCTCCAGTCCTCAATGGATCCAAAAGTCTCCTTCCTTCAAATAGTTTTAACAGTGACATTCTATTTTCATTTGAAGTAAATTTTGTTTAGTTTATAGTACAGACATTGTTAAATACCTTTATTTCTTTCTTCATCGCTTCACATTCAACAAAA